ATGCCACGGCTTATCGGGTGCATCCGAGTTGAGCTAATAAACGCGATTCGAATCGTACATGCCTGCCGATCCTTTTCTCTTTTTTCCCTCCCAAGCTCGTTGGCCTGACAGCAGATTACGTGCAATAGTTAAGATATATTCCAAAATGTATGCAATTGCGAGAGTGTTAGTTAACAAACTGGAATTCGTTTCAACTCTAATTGGAAAAAGTTTATAATTCATTTTATGTTCATTTAACGATATGATATTTTTTCTTAGAGGATTAGGATTAATTTTCATTGTCTGTTTGAGATGTTTTCTATGTATATGTGCATTGACTGTTCTGATTTCATTCATCACGACGATGATATTACCGGTAGCGGAAATGGGTTAAAAATGGGTGCAAAAGGGAATCGAATAATTCGTCGGAAGCGACCCACAAATAGCGGCAGATATTAAATTTCTTGTGGGAAACATTTGTTAAGGTGCGGATATGAAGGAACACGGCGAATTTACTTTTCACCAGTGTTGCACAAAATAGAGATCCGAAAAGCAATTCTCTTTTGTACTTTATAATTATATATAATATAATTTGACTTAAGATCTCTCTTTCCTATTTTATAGTCTCATTGTTACGGCATGAATTGGGATAAGTATAAAATTAACCCAATACTAGAATAACGGTCCTACTTATGTATTACGAACACAAGGACGTTTACGATCTCAATCGACAAGAGTCATCCAGTGATGTATTCACAATTCGAACCGTTCCATCTCTGAGTCGAATAATCAAACTGCAGTTTCCTGGAGGAACTGCAAGAGACCACGAAGAGAATCCGATACGTGGTTACTTTGCGAACGGTTATTTTCTCGTTGAAAGGAGTACTGAAAAAAAAGCGAGCTCAAGGAAACGGGCTCAAATTAACAACGCTCGCAGCCATCCATTCAACCAGAAGAGACTCTCCAGTGGTCTCGCAACGACCGAGGAGGAGCGATGGCATCCGATTACGCGTTGCAATCGTCGGTAGCAACAATACCCGTTCAATTGCAATCGCATTAACCCTTCCCCGCTCCCCCATCTATCCATCTATCTTGCTACCCACCCATCCTGCTCTCCCTTTCTCTCTTTTCCCCGACAGCGGCGTGAGCAGCGCAACTGGGTCACGGGCCGAAAATATCGATGTTCCATAATCTGGGTAGGTGAAAAGGCTTCGCGGCGTTAGCGAAAGCCTGCACACCAACTAAAAGCTTTCCCTGGCAACGCTGCTGCTGCTGCTGTCCCGGCTCGCTCGAAAACTCGACCGTCCTTGACTGCGATCATCGAGTCCCTCGCTACCCCCGTGTTTCTCGTTCACGGCCAAAGATCGCCGACTCTCGAGTGCATCCCTGGCTGTGCCGTGCTCTCGAACACACTCGGATGCGCCCGTTTCCGACGATCTAGCCCAGCCAGTTCCGCTATTTACCTGGCTATTTCCAAACTGCCGTCAACTTCAGACGCTTCGTTTAAAGTCAATCTTTTAGATTAATTTTCATTTATTTAACAGAGTTTTATCGGTAATAAAGCTAATAATCAGATTTTGATGAAATTTTGTATATCGCTAGTTGATGCTTTTAAAAAGATCTGATTAAATTTTTAGAGATTGAGGGTACTTACGAAAGAAGATATTAAAGATTTCATTTTTATT